TGATTTGACTAATGCTATTATTGTTAAATTGCTTCCAATATTGATGTTTATTCTGTTTGATCACCATATTGCATGTTAAAGGGAATATGTAATTGAAAATCACGCCAAATAAGATAATTTGGACAACCGGTTTAGGTTCCTTTTTAATCTTGTTGTTTAATCAAGTGATCACTAATATTTTAGAATTATATGTTGCATTAATATTAAACCAATTTAGCATAATAATAGTTTGGGGCAAATTGATCTTTGTTTGCATGCCTTTGAGATCGAAGGAATTACTTTTCACTATAAGAATCGAGTAAAGGCCAATACGGGCGAATGTGACTCCATGACTCACTTCGTACCATCATCCCCGATCCTCCTTTCGTGGTTCCGAACCATATGGAGTTAGTAATCTCATGGATTATGAATGGGATGTAACTTTCACGGGTCAATTGTTGTTGCCTATCGTTGTCCCTTATCGTGGTTTCCTTTTTATGATCTGTGAACGGTTTACAAGTTCCTTAAAAACTTGTTGGCGGCTCCCTACTTTCCTTGTCACTAATCGTATTATGTCTATTCTCACTTCCTATGAGTGCCAAGCATATTCACAACATGCTTTAACGTAGGCGCACTTCGAACGACGCCTACACATAGATATATACAACCGGTGGCAGATTCGGGAATTCCGACTAGGGGTAGCACTACGCAAGTACGCATTAGATAACATAATTAATAAACTATTTATATTGACGTAGACGAATTGGGTTAAGCCAATTAACTTTCAAATAATGTGTTGCCTTGATACCATATATATAAGAATGTGAGAAATATTTGTTGTGGCTTCTCATTCATCAAATAAAGATTAGTTTATATGCACAATACCAAAAACTTCTAAGGTAAGCTTAATCTAAACTAGGAAATATACACTAAAATACTAAATATATACTAAGATAATAACAAAAGGTTATTAATTACTTAATTCCATAATCTATCACATACCCCTCTATATTTTATCAAGTGCATGCTTTTTTTTTTTTGAGGGGATATTAAGTGCATGCCTAATTTTTAAACATTTTTATTGGCACATATGCTAATTGTACCAAATTATTCAAAACGGTGGGAGTAATAATTAACTAATACAAAGTAATTTATACGAGTATTTAGTTTTCAATGTACTACAATCAAATTAAAAAGTGATCCCTATGTTCCATGAATTATAATATATTAATATATAAGTATTATATATCGGTCAAAGTTTTATATGGTAAGCATTGGACATAAGAAGAAAAAAAATATATATTATCATTTGCTTATTTTTTAATTCACATCTCAATGTAAATTTTCATGAATATTGTTACTAATATAATATAAAACTAAATAAATTAGTTGTCAAATACAAGCATTGAAAAACAAGGTATGCATGAAATAGGAAGAATTTTAATGAATGGAGGGAGTATTCTAGATTAGAATGCTAGTTTTCTTTTTTAAATCTCAAAAAATAATACTATGTAAAATGCTTTTTGATAAAATAAAATAAAATAAAATAAAAAGAAATAAATTATTACCTCAAAAAAATTGGTTGTTGCCTGGTATCGAACCGCTGTCAGGTTTCCCAACAATTTAAATCTCACTTTCCCAACCACTACAACAACACGGAGCATATACTCTTTTCATACATGATAAAACTTATATACAAAAAACAAAATTGTAATAGCTTTTTTTTAAGGGGTAGCACGTGCTACCCCTTGCTCCAACGTAGGTCCGCTAGTGTATACAACCCGTCATATGTACACATTTTTTAATAGTCCTAATTAAGACAAGACTTGACAAAATGTTTAAATTAACAACCATGATACTATTATGTATATAACATATTCATTTTGAATGGACCAATTGACCATCTGTCCATCTGCTAACTAATTTATTTTTACTAGTTCGTACTTAAAAATTTAATTTTACTGAACATCTAACCTTTTTTTTACAAATGAACTTCCAATTTTTAAGTACGAAATAAGTGTTCCGAAACGTAAAAAGGGTAACTAGTATGATGGTTGTTATTTTTTCTGACCGCAAATAAGTACTTATCTTGCTCGGTCTATGTAAAAACATGGACCCGATTGAATCAAGTTAAAATTTGATTCGTGAATTGTGATCGGGGTAACTCGGCCAATACCATACGCCATAAAAATGAAATAAAAAAATAAAGGAAAAATTAAACTTGCTAATTGTGTCACATAAATAAACGATATGTAAAAAATGGGATTTGAATCCTAAAAAAGACAAAAAAATAAAATAAATAATTTAACAATTGGTCCACGTGACATTAAAAACTTCCTATTGTGTCACATAAATTGGCGCGAAGAATTAAGAAGTTGAAGAGTTATGTATAACATCATCCCTTTGATCACATAACTTCTCCTTCCACTATCTTTAATCAACTTCCATTCTCTGTATTTGTCTCCAAACTTCTTTTGATTTCTCCGACTTTTTTCTCTTTCTCTGTCCTAATGTTCTTATATTTTTCAACTCTCCTTTCCAAATTTTTAAGTTTCTGAAATTTCAAAAATGGTGAAGCAGACAAAGGAAAACAAGCAATGGTACCCTCAGAAGATCAACCCAAATACGCAGAACTTCAATTCCTCGAGTTGAAGGAGAAGATGTTAAGTGAGCAATTGAACGACCATCAGTTCATTTGCCAAAGCTTGCAGTTCCAATTGAATGATGTTAGTTCAGCCATTTCTAACATTCGCCGTCAAAAAGCACAGACCACTGATGCACCGATACAAAAGCAACAGAGCGCAAGGGTGGCCGAAAGTCCGCTTAGGTTGGGGGCTAGGAAGAGACCCACGAGGAAGCGAAAGCGACGGCTATGAAGAGGATTTCTAGTCAGGGTGGTGCAGCAGGGCAAGCACCAGTTGGTGATGGGCAAGGGTCCACTAAGGCTGGGCAAGGAGCCACATGTACTGTCGGAGCAAAAGGGCAAGATGGGGAAGGAGTACAGACGCAGGTAGAGGTCGTGGCAGCACCAGTCAAGCTAAGGCGGAGGCAGAGGAGTCCCGTCAGCCCCAGAGAGGTCGTTCCATACGATCCATACCATGTCCGTGATCGGTGGTCCTCGGAGGTTTCCGGCCAGGAAACCGGTGATTACAGTCACTCAGCTTCAACCATTGAAAAATTCGACTGAAGGAGGTTAAGTAATCTAAGCCAATTAATCTGATTTTGGATTTTATATGTGATGAAAAGGTTTAATCTTTTAATTTAGTTGGCTTAGATTATAATTTATGTCTGGTTTGATTGTTTCATGTTAAAACATTTTTAATCCAAGTTAATTTTGAACAGTTTGGTTTTGCTTATGTAATGAACAATTTAATATTATTTTGGACAAGTAATTTGATTATTTGTTATGGGAACTTAGTTTAATCATGCAGTTTGGTAAATTTTTGATAATTTTATGAACAATTTAATCGTATTTTTGACATGTAATTTGATTATCTGTTATGGGAACTTAGGTTAATCATGCATTTTAATTAGTTTAATTTTATGAACAATTTAATCGTATTTTAGTTTAAGAAATTAGTTTAATCATGGTAATTTTGATAAGTTTAGTTTGAGTGTGATTATGTTAACTAGTGAAAACTAATAATGCTTATGTACATGTTGGACCAAACGCAGACTATATGGTGAGGCTAGGGGTGCTTATTGAGCGAGTCGATCACGAGTTAGGGGGCGCTCAACTCATGATCTAAAACTAGAGCTCGTGCTCGACTCGTGATACTCGTTAAGCTCGTTAAGTTTGTGCTCGACTCGTGATCGAAAACTTTTTTTTAGCTCGACTCGAGCTCAAAAATGCTCGTTACTCGTTAAGCTGCAATGGCTTAAATCAGCTCATTAACTCAAAAACTCGATTGCTCGGGTCGTAACTCGCTAAGCTCGATAACTCGGCTCGTCATTAGCTCGTTTAAGTTAATTTTTTTTTTTATTGTAACTTAACTATTTAATATTGTCAAGATGTCAACTGTTTTCAAACTATTTAGTTTTACATATATAATTTTTTTAAAACTACCAAGTACCAAATAAAATCCAACAACAAAAATGTATTACATTCTTACACAATAAACAATTAGAACATCAAACTACACCATCAAATTTATCACATAACCAAAGAAAATGATTATAGGGAATCTTTCTTGTCTTCAATTTGTCTTTGGTTGCAAATTCTTCCTTCAATCTTCTCGAATATCCTACAAAAAAATAATTTATTTCAAATCCAAATTAATAAATAATAAACTTACATAAACTATAAATAATAAACTTACATACAAGATGTCAAAACTTATATATTAAGTCTAATACCTCGGTATTAGGAAATCGGAAGAATGATTTCTTTTGGTTCTTTTTCTCCAAAGTTATTCTACAATCAAAATAATAGTATTAAGTTGAAATAATAATACAACAAATTATAAATATAAAAAAGTTTACATTCATAAAAAATAACTATAAATTGTACTTACTTTATTTTTTCTTTTCACTCCATGAAGGGCTCAACACCAATCTCCCGAACAAAGCAACATTTGCACAGTTTTCGGAGTTAGTGAAGATCTATAAGGATCAATAACACGACTCCCTGCACTAAATGTAGCTTTCGATGCTACAGTTGTTATGGGAACTGCTAAGATATCAATGATCACTAGTGGAAAAAATCTCATTCGTAACAGGCTATTTATAACGGGTAAAGCTTTGCCCGTTACAATTAAGATATTCGTAACGGGCAAAATAGTGTCCGTTACGAATACCTATTTATTCGTAACGGGAAAAATAGTGTCCGTTACGAATACCTATTTATTCGTGACGGGAAAAATAGTGTCTGTTACGAATACTATATTATTTATAACGGGCAAAATACCGCACGCTACGAATAGTATACTATTTATAACGGACATCATGGGCCCGTTACAAATGATTGGTCCAGGCATCCAGCTGATGAGATGAGCCCATTAGTTATTTAGGGTTTCACACTTCTCCTCAGCCGTCACTCCCCTCTATTTCGCTCCTCACTCTCTTTCTCTCTCCTCTCTAGAACTCATTGTCTTTCTCTTTCCTCAGGATTCATTCTCTTTCACTCTCTTTACCACCTCTCCTTACCTCCATATTCTCTTTCCTCTTGATTATGCGTTTTTTTTTTAAAATTTATGTTTTGTTTTTGCTACTAGATCTGTAGCAATTAGATTCAAATTGGTAGAATTATTGGGTTTTATAATTAGATTTTAATCTGATTTTTATTTGAATGATTTTTGCTAGTTTATTGTTGAAAACCAAGAGGAGGAAGTGAAATAAGAGGCGAAAAAGAGGAAGAAGGCACTAACGGCGATGGAGAAATCAATGGTTAGATCGTTGGAAACCACCGCTTACAAGGATCTTATTTCTTTTATTTATTTATTTATTTTGAATCTTATTTCTTTTAATTTTTTGTTACATGTTACCCTTTTTTTTCATTCAAGTGCTATGATTTTTCTGGATTTTTAAAATTATTTTTGGTAATTTTGTTTTTATTTCTTGGAAAATCGATTGAAATGACTTAGTTTTGGGAATTTTTCCGCTTCTCTTTCGTTCTTCACATTTCGAAAATTCTCCCCTTTCAATTCTCAATCTGCAACTTCAGAGAATTCAACAATGGCGGCTTCAAACAATCAATTAAGGTTTGTAAATCAGCTTTTATTGTAGCTCACGAGAAGGCTACCCTTACAAAGCTCAGCAATGGCGTCTACGTCTCTCCGTTTCTATCGACCTCTACAATTGTGGATCTTTGTATGCGTTTTCTCTTTTCTATTGATTCTACATTTTCTGCTATGATTTTAGATCTTGTTTGCGTTTGAATTTCCATTTTTATGAATTTCATAATTGAATTTTGTTTTCTGTGTTTGATGTTGTTTTTTGTTTGCATGTTGATTTGGAGGAAGTAATAGTGTTGGAGATGAATTTCGGTTTCAATTTCGTATTTTAATCTTAAATTATCTGCATTTGTTTGATTTTGTGAGTTTGCTGTTTGAGAAACACTGTAGTTTATTTGTCAGGTTGAATTGCTATAATTAATCCTTTAAATTATAGAAGTACCTGCAATTGTAACTTAAGATTGTACAGCAAAATTATAAGTTTATTACATACTGTTGTTAGGTTATACATCAATTTCTTTATATTTTTCCATTAATCTTTCTAGAATTCTCCTTGTTTCAATAGTTTAACATTCAATAATGGATGGAGGAGGAACAATCTATCTAACAATGTTTAATAGAGTTGACTTGATTTTCCATTTTTTATTTTAATTTTTCTTTTAAATGAAAAAGTTCACCATATCATAATTGCTAACTTCCAATAATGTGTGATAGAGTATTATAAAGTATGAATTGGCGAGGTTTATAATGCCAAAGGGTGTGTTTAATTCGATATTTCGCAATCACGCATTGCGTGCTAAGAGTTGTGGTTGTATTGATGTGTAGATACATACAACATACGTTCGTAGTACCTTAGGAATTAACTAGAAGAAAAGTCTTGAATGAGTGTTGAGCCACATATTAAAGCTATAATTTTATGCCATTTGGTCTAATTTTGTTGACGAAACAAACAAATTAATTCAAGTAAACAAGCAAAATTAATTTAAGTTTGACGTTGTGTAGTCTTACAGTACAATAACTATCTTAGTAGTTAAGATGATTTGCAACTTCAATTAAAGAATTAATACATATAACATATTAAAGAAATTGTCACGAATTTTAACTCTTGTTGTATAGGTATAGGCGCTTAATCTCATCTATTAGTCTATTACATGCACCTTCAATAAAGCAAGTTTATTCTACTTGTAATTTTTCTTTGAATACGAATACATAACTTAGTGATACATGACAGTGTGACATACATGACTAGTATGTATCATACGAAGTATGTGATATCCTATCATAGCTAATAAGGCATGAATGAATGAACTTACAAGTAACATTAGCCATTGTTTAGATGTTAAAGCTTAAATTTTGATACCAATAGTCCTGTTTTGAGAATGCAGCTTTGGATTTACTGAAGAATGATCAAGTGGTTGCAATCATAGGTCCAGAAACATCTCCTGAGGCTCAATTTGTTGTCAATCTTGGGGAGAAAGCTCGAGATCTAATTGTTTCCTACTCTACTACAAGCCCTTCACTTTCTCCCACGCAAAACTCGTATTTCATTCGAGCAACACAGGATGATTACTGCCAAGTACAACCCATCAGTGACCTTATCCAAGCTTTTGGATGGAGAGGAGTTGTACCTGTCTATGTTGCTAATGAATTTGGTGGTGGGATCATACCTTTCTTGAAGTTCAGGTACTTGACAGATATTGTTTTCGATAGGAATATGTAAAGTATGAATGTCATTGTGGTTATCCTTCTGTTTTTTTTTGGAAATATTTTACCTTGGTTGCAATGTATTGCCTTATCTATGTTGAGTAATTAAAGAGATTTTTAAAGACAAGAGAAGTAAGGAATCCATTGTCTTCCCCTTTTTCTTGAAGTTCTTGGTACTAAAAAATTGTTTTTTGTGGGTAATATTTTATTCTTCTTCCGCCCACCCCCTTTTAGCATTTGAGTTGCTGATCAATTACTGCTTGATTAAAATAAGCATTTGAGTTGCTGATCAGTTACTGCCTGATTAAAATTTAATGTTTTCTTACTCTCTTAGAGTCTTTAAGAAGATTTTTAGTCTTAAATTGATTCTAGTCTTAAAGTAGGATATTGGTCAACATTGGATTATGCATTTCTAGTGCATTATACTGCCTTTTCTGCTCTGTGCTGCTACATATTAACTGAAATTATAGATTGGTTGAACCTTTTCTGCTTTGTGCTGATACATATCAACTAAAATTATTGATTGATTGAACCAAATTTTTACTTTTGCTGATAATGTCTAATGTGACCCTTGCAAGTGTGATACTAGTATGGCTGGCTCCTTGTGTTAGTCCCTCAATTTTATTAATTATTCTGGGCATTGGGTTCTCTAAAACTTTGCAAATCTTTCAAATTTATTGCTTGTCTTGTGTTTTTGTTTTAGTCGCTGACTTAGTTTTTGGGTTAGGGTTCTTAATTTGCCAATCTATTATTTTTTTTTTCTGATGTTTTAGGAGGCAAGAAAGTTCTATTGACGCTGCTGAAGACAGAGACATTGGTGACGAAGAAAATCAAGAATGGCAATGTTAATCCTTTTAATGTTGAGGATAGAGATAGAGAAATGTCCGAGACATCATGTACCAGAAGATTTATTACTATGAGGCTCTAACTTTTTTTTTCTGAAATTTTCCTTTAATCTATGTAGCTATGTCTCTTGGTTCAATCAAGAAGAATTTTATCTGAAATACAATTTGGTGTTTATGTTATGTTTGATAATATGTTTGTGGCATGAAATATTTGGTTTTGTTATAAATTATTATAATAATTTGGGTGGTAAATGGAAAGAAGAATAGGGGCATTTGTAACTAGCACCAGAAATGCTAGTTACAAATGCCCCTAATTTTTTGTCTTATTCGGAACGGACATTGTAATTGCCCGTTACGAATAACTACTTATTCGTAACAGGCACTTACAATGTCCGTTACGAATAACTTCGTAACGGGCATTTACAATGTCCGTTATGAATAAGTTGTTATTCGTAACGGGCGTTTCAAGTGCCCGTTACGATTAATGTGTTATTCATAACGGGCACTTACAATGTCCGTTACGAATAATGGGTTATTCGTAATGGGCACCTGAAACGCCCGTTACGAATAACTACTTATTCGTAACGGACATTGTAAATGCCCGTTACGAATAATAATGGCCATCCGTGACGGCCGCATACGTAACGGACGCTGCCTGTTACGGATGGGCCCTTTTTGCCCGTTACGGATGGCCTTTTTTCCACTATACTTCATTGATTTTTCTTTCCACCATTCCACAGGATCAAATTTTTCATTTCCTTCAATCATTAAATATCACTCCTCAAGATATTCATCAACTTTACAAAGTAGCATACTCATCGTAAAGTTCATGCAAAACTTCCCTAACCTTAACCAAATTATCACGAACTTCTTGTGGAGAAAACAGTTAGCAAATGTAATTTCAACGGCTTGCATTTTAAAATGAGGATCCAACATGGATCCTATTGCCATTAGCAAATTACATTCACCCCAATACTTATCAAATATTTCTTTCATGTTTGTTACCATGTCTCTTATAAAATCATCGTGAGAATTTGAAGACTCATCTAATAACACATTAACCCTATAAACCTCACCAAGAAACAAATTGGATGTTGGATATTCTGACCCAGATATATTATTAGTAGCATCATTGAACACTTTTTAAAATTCCAGCAATTTCTCAATTTTCACCCAATCATCAACACTAGGACAATAAACATATTCTCTATCCTCCAAAGCAAGTCTAAAAAATACCTCTTTGAATTTGACGGCACAAGCAAGCATTTCATAAGTTGAATTCCATCTTGTCTTACATTTGAGAACCAATCTTCTATGTGGGAGGTTGAATTGTTGAACAAGCTCGGTAAACTTTTGTATCCGTTGCTCACTACCACAAAGATAGTCAACCGTGTCATGAATATTCTTGACAATTGTTTTCACTTTCTTTAATCCATGTTGAACCATAATGTTCAAAATGTGAGCACAACAAAGAACATGAAACAACTTGCCTCCACAAATTAACCTCTTAGTCGATGAAAACGTATCCTTTAATATCTCTATGCAAGAAACATTTGCCAATGCATTGTCCACGGAAATTGTAAAAATCTAAGAAAGGATACAAATATAACAATTAGAACCATGTATAAAAACACTAACATAAATTTATTACATAATTAAAGAGTGAAACACTTACTTTATTTTCAATTTTCCACTCCTTTAAACACTTGAAGATACAATTTGCTATGTCTCTATGTAGACACCCATTTGTGTCTCCCCAAAACCAAACCCAGTGATGAGTACCTTTCACGTCGAATCATAATCGAATGAAGTGAAAGTGTGGAAAGTCTAGTGTTGCGGATATTTTTAATTTATTTTCTCTTCTCTCTGTTTTTGAAAACTTATTTTAAAGAAAACAGTCAATTCAGTTTGGTTGGTCCATGATATGGGTCCAATAGTAGTGTAGTTGGATGGGGCTTGACAAGAACTTTCCAACGATATATTATAAGCTCAATTCCGATGAATATTGAGGAAGTTATGACTAATTTACCAAACTGGGCCCGGTTTGAGACTTATATGCGGCCCAATGATCTAGGGGAGGGCCTAATATGATTTATCATTCCTAATGCAATTAGGAATGATAATAGTCTTCTAGATTCTTCTAGAAGGTTCTTTTCATTCCTAATTCAATTAGCATTGATAAATTGACTTTTGTTGACTTTTCAGAATTTTAATTAAAATCAAAAAGCATTTTCGAGGAAAATATATGATTTTATCCTCTAGTACGGAAAAACTTATCTAATTTTCAAAAACGTATCAAAAACAGGCCTGGCGCCTGACTCCAGGCATTGGCGCCTGGAATCAGGCCTGGCGCCAGCCATTGGCGCCTGGTGCTAGCCATTGGCGCCTGTCGCCAATTAGCCGGTGCTGGTGCCAACTCTGTTTTGCGTGCGCCAAGTGCTCTGTTTTGATATTTTATCTTTTTGGCTGATTTCTCTATAAATAACGTATTAAAAACTCCGTTTTCATTCACCAATTCTCACGAATTCTCACCTACAATCAGTTTTCATTCGCAATCATTAATTCTTTAATTCTCCCTTAATCATTCACCAATTCTCATCAAGTTTTCTTGATTATTTCATCTCTCTCTCTCTTTCTCTTTTCTAACCTTGCTTTTCAAATACAAAATTCCGTATTCGCAAGATCTCGAAACACCTAGCCATATTCGAAGTTGCCTTCGCCCTAGACGTGAAAGGTTTAATTTCTGAGGGTTTGGTCCCAATTCTCTATTTCAATTATTTAATTTAATTGTTGTTTATTATTTTCCTTGAAGTTACTAACGTGTGTATTTTGTTATTAGAAAGAGGTACGAGGCATCAAAGTAAGTATTCTAATGGTTTTAATTGATATTATGATGTAGAGATCATGTTTATATTGTTATTATGATATTCCTAGTATCATGTTTAGGGAAAAGGTTATAATATCAAATATGCTTATTATGATTCCTACGATGCTTCCTATGTTCTTCCTAATATTTATGATTATTAGTATCATGTTAGGGTTAAAGCTTTGATTTTTATTGCTTAGTGACATGCTAGGGTTTGTTATTAATCTTGTTAGTATTATGCCTAGGATCTTGCTATTTTTATTATGCTTTAATATTAACATGAATATGATTATAATTGTTATAATTTATGATTATTATTATTTTGATGATGATTATTTTATTATGATTATAATTTTGTTATCGCTATAATAATTATTATTATGATTAATATGGGTGTTATCATGATGATTATTCTTAATTATATTTGTGATGATTATAATTATTATTATGATTATTTATTATATTGCTTGATGCTTATTATTTATTTTTATTGCTTGATCACACCTTTTATGCATGTTTAAAGGGAATTGGTACTTGTAATAACGCTTAATAAGATATCTAATAATCTTATTTAGGGTTAATGTGATTATAATTCAAGTGATCGCCAATAATAGTTTTATTTGTGCATTAATATTCAACCAACATAGATAAACAGGTTTAGGGTTAAACCTATTGATTGCATATTAATTAAAAAGCGCACATGAATACGATCAGAATAAAGTAGAGGCCTATTATTAGGGCAGGTTCAATCTCTTTTAGGTTGGATTCGTACCTTCATCCCTGAACCCTTATTTGGTTCAAGACCTTATGGATTTGACGATCTCTTGGATCGTTAAGGGGTGTAACCTTCACCTCGTAAATGGTTTACAAGTTCCTAAAACTTGTTGGCGACTCTTGTGCTCTATCTTCTTCCCTTTTGGACGCCACTATACTTTAGTGTATGATCACAGTGGGGTTCAAGCTAGGGGTTAACGCTTGAATTTATTCCCTACAGTTTTTGGCGACTCCACTGGGGAGGATTTCTAATTTAATTCCTGAATTTGTTTCGGCAATGATTTAGAATGAGTGGATGAGACTCGAAACGTTCTAAGTAATTCATGTGCATAATTTTGATTAATATTATTGTCATATGCATAAAAAAGATCTCATTGGAAAGACCATCCGCAATGAGTTAAAAACATAGGATTTTACACGTAGGAAATTTGAGAAATATCTTTCACAACTAGGACTCAAATAACACCGCGCGAAACTGGAAAATTTTATCGAGCACAAAAAGCTGCTGAGGCATGTGGGAAGTAGCGCCAGAGGCCAGAGCTTGGCGCCAGCATTTTAGCCGTAGCGCCAGACGCCAGCATTGGCGCCAGGCGCTACAGTTAAAAGTTGGCGCCAGTGTCTGTTTGCTGGCGCCAATTTCCCCCAATACCGAGCCAGAAATATGCGTTCTAATTTCGACCGGTTTTTCGTATTGTTTGCTCGATCCTACTTCCTGATTGAATTTTTTCTCACTTTTCTGAAACCCATATGTGTTCTACATATGGACATAACCCTCTGGGAATTCATGCTCCATCTACCCGATTAAACGCTCCGTGCAACAAAGGGTACATCCGAGAATGTTGAATTCACCAAACCATGGAAGCGAGTTTTTTCTAAAACTCGCGGTGTCCCATCCACTCGCGCCAACCCTTCACGGTTAGGCTTCCGCGCGGTGCATCCGGAAAATTAACCATGGACCCTCTATTGACTAAACCATATCCCGAACTTTAGAGAACTAGAGCCATGGTTAGGTTGCAAACTCATTGCATCATATTGTGCCTACTTGACTAATTGTGCATTATTTGTTGTGCATACTCTATGTGATTTTTCCTAACCGTTTGTTTGACTTGTGTTAAGACTAAATAAACTGATTAATGACTAAAGGACTTTGTTTAATTAATTAATTAAATAATTAATTTGAGCTAATAAATAAACATAAAATCGAGTCATAGTTCCTTTAAGTCAACCCGGATTTTTATTCCCGTATACTACACAAACGTCAAATTGTTTTGGTCATAGCCGGAGTTCTAGGATGAACTACGAGTCTTACAACCTATGGATCTGTAGCCCCGAGTTTTATCGTTGATTTGGCGTTGGTTTCATCCAAATCAGAGTCACAGGTAAATAGTTATGACTAAAATACCACAGTCTATCAAGTTTAATGCATATACGTGAAGTCTTAACTTAGTCTTTGCTTGAGTCTAGTCACATAGTCTAGCCACATGGTCATGACATGAGTCTTAACGTACCATCTACAATCACTAGTCTTAGCACACACTTT